CCGTTTGTTTGGCCCAACAACCTAGCGCGAAGAGCCTTAAGGTTTCGGCTCAGACGTCCTCCTCTACCCGTGCAAACTCACCGACATCAAGTCCAACCGTTGTGAGAACCCCAATTACACCTGGCCTAAACTGATTACCTTTGTTATGTCCAACGGACACTGATGTCCCAGCATGTGAAAGTCTGAGTGCTGAAGACCAGTGGAAAGAACAGAGGACGAAATTACGAAGGAACGTTGGGCGTTTACGTTCTTTAAGTAAATTGTTAGCCAAACCACTTGAGGCTGGTAGTATACTTCGCCCTGAAATGTCAGCCTCATCCGACCAGAGGCGTTATAATCTCGTGATCTTTCACGCACCGGAGTCCAGTGATCCATCAATCCAATTGCGCTACGATCACGATGTCGAGTTTGCACTCTCTAATTGATACACTCCTCGAAGCTGGTGAGGACTCGGTGAAAGTGAGGCAAATTACCCGTCTTGCAAAGCAAGGTGAGCAACAAATCGGCCTATGAGAATCACTTTTGTGGTCGAAGCCAGTCCAAGACTGATTATGTCTCGCCTAAGTAGGCTGAAAGGTTTGAAGATCCATGTTCGTCCCGACCTGGAACCAGTAGACAGGGAGCTGCTCAAGTCTGCCATCATTGAGCTGAAAAGACGCACTAGTGTGGGGAAACGAATCTTCGTATCGCAAATTTTCGGGTGGTTTCTAACCATCCGCGAAATAGGATAAACAGGCTGCTCACACTTCAAGCACGCCCGGTAGCTCCTGCTGCGGCCTGCGAGTAGCCTACACAAACGTTTGCAGTGTTGTGAATAAGCGGAATGAGGTTAGTCGTTTCATTGCGTCTGAGCAGCCAGATGTAGTGGGACTCTCAGAGACATGGCTGCATGCAGAGTTATACACTCAAGAACTTGAACTCAATGGTTACTCGTGTTTCCGTTGCGATAGACTAAAGAATGCCCACGGTGGTGTCTTATTTACATCCAGTCTTCCATGCGTGGGAGAATTGTGAGCACCTACCGAAGTGACGATGGTTTGTGTGAGCTACTGTGACGCTGCATCCGCCTTAGGCGCGGAGAACTGCATTTGGGCGCAGATTATCGCAGTTCCCTGAGTCGTTGTTTGGATTGGCTGCCCATTATTTGAACCCACATGAGTCGTCCATACTTTCTACTTATGGGCGATTTTAACTGTCCTCGAATACAATGGCCGGATGTGCATTTGATACCTTGACATAGTGAGGTTGAAGAGGTTTGTGGATTCGGTACTTGAAACTGGTGCATCGCAACACATATGCCAGCCAACACGCATATCAACACGTTCAACCCCCTCCTGTCTCGACCTGATGTTGATGAGCTATGAACAACGAGTGTATGACGTTAGGATCCTGGAGCCCCTGACTACGAGCGACCACTCAGTACTGATAGCTGATATGAAAGTATCTTTGCCGTATTCACATCCGCTGCAACCAGCTCCCAACTAATCTAAAACGGACTTCGATGATCTAGCTCGAGCCGCGAGCCAACTGGATTGGTCTCTGTCACAAGCTGTGTCAGTGGAAGATTGTTGGATATATATAAAAGAGCGATTTACATCATCGTGTTCCCAATTTTTGCCAGTGAAATGTCGAAAGGTTGGACTGATTAAGCCTCATTGATTTGACAAGGTGTATGGAAACCTGGCTCGGAGGAGGCGCAGACTGTGAGACAAATTCCTCCCCTCTGGCTCGACCATTGATTACGAAGGTTATAAATGTCAGAGGAACCTCTGCAACAGTGCAAAAAAGAACAAACGCGGACACTTTGAAGAGCAGCTCGCTTTAGCCGCCAAGACCACCCCAAAGAGAATGTTTGCATAAGTGAAGCGACACCTGAAGCCGGCAGGTGATGTGCCAGTGCTGGATGGCACGGATGGACAGCCCGTAACCTCCAGCACTGAGCGTGCGTCTGCGTCGGCGGCGCACTTCGCTTCTGTATTTGCGAATAACCAGGTGTCTGCTCTGAGTTCGACCTGTACCGCTTTTACCGAACTCGAAATCTGCATTGCGGCGTTGAAGAGGTAGCTTAATTACTCTCCAACCTTGACGGCACTAAACCTGTCGGATATGATGGGCTTCACCCACTGGTTCTTAAGTCGATTGCAGCCATCCTCACTCCTTTCGTGACTGACCTTTTCAACAGGGCGCTGTCCGAATGTTTGTTGCCTTTTGACTGGAAATTTTCGGTGATGAAGCCTATTCCGAAAGGCGGGGACCATAGCAAAGTAGACAATTGCAGGCAAAGTTGTTTGACACCTTTTGTGGCAAAGGTTGCTTAGAAAATCGTGAATAAGTGATTTCTGCAGTTGCTGCAGTCAAACGAGGTCCTGACGCCCGCACAGCACGGTTTTGTGCAAAGTCGCTCATGCATTACGAACCAGCTATTGACGAGACAGGAGTGGTTGAAGGCAACAAGCAATGGGAAGTCCGTCGACGTTATATTTGTTGATTTCAGTAAAGCTTTCGACAAGGTCAGCCATGAGGTTCTCCGTCACAAACTCAGCATGTGTGGTGTCGGTGGCTCAATGCACCGGTGGATCCTCGACTTCCTTTTTGAATGAAAGTGGAGGGTACAGGTCGACAACCATCTAACTGACTGGTACCCCTCTACAAGTGTCGTGCCTCAAGGCAATGTGCTGTGGCCCACTCTGTTCCTGATCAACATCAACGATCTACCGCAGCTTCTCCGGTCGCCGTGTGCCTTGTTTGCGGACAACATGAAGATTTGAGAGAAATCGACGCACCCGATGACTGTGGCCTACTTCAGCAAGACCTAAACCGCCTACCACATGGTCTGCAGCAGTTCTTCGCCCGGTCAACCCAGCCAAGTCTGTATTAATGAGCCTGGGGAAGGGTGCTAACGGCCGAACCTACACACTTGACGGCCAAACGCTATATCCCACACCCTCCGTGAAAGACCTAGGTGTACTCTTACGCTACGATTTGAAGTCCGTGGACAACACGAACAGGCTATATCGTAACGGACTGCGCATGCTTTGGGCGCTCAAACGTAGCTTCGGCACATGGTTTGAAGAGGTTGCCACTCGCCTGTTCACTTCTATCATTAGAACAATGCTAGAGTACGGTTCGCCCGCCTACTTTCCGACTACCCGAGGCGAGGCACAAAAGATCGAACGGGTCCAGCACGTTGAAACCAGGCTCATCCCGAGCTCACGTGGCATGGGGTATGAAGACCGGTGCGAGAAACTAGGACTCTACACCTTGTCCTACCGTCGGGTGCGAGTCGAACTCATTATGACTTACCGTATTCTACATCTCGGTGACTTTCCAATGCTATGGCCAATGCTGCACTTACGAGGGCCATGCAACACATGCGGACACAGATAAAAACCTGTCGTGCCGGATGTGAAACGTGTTCCCCACTCACTGTGCTTCGAAAGGAGAGTGGCAAACATTTGGAATATTTTGCCAGAACATATAATTGAAGCAACATCTGCGCAACAGTTAAAAACATTGTTAGATTTGTATTTTGCCACTATTCGATTCAGAGAACGACTGCATACTAACGATGACATATCACATTTGTGAGTCCTGAAATATCGTAAGTCAGATATTTTAAATATCACATTAGAACGACAAAGCTATTCACGGCTGACAACTTTTATAACGTTTTTTACCATATTTCGAAAGAATGGTACAGAATCCATTTTTGCTTGCTCTATAATCCAGTATTCAACATCCGGTATTCAGAGAATTACTCGTTTTTACACTTGTGCTTGTTAGAAAGTAAGCCTTGGTGGTAAATAAAATCGCTGAAGAATTACTTGCTCCTAATGTCGTCAGAAAAATAGAAATCCCGAGTATCTTCAACATATGCGCACTTGGTTTGCATCGCATCCAATCCGCATGCCATGACTTCTGCACCAGTGATGCGTCCATGAAGCCCGCTTAGGTGTCGGTTTCAGTAATTGTGTTAGGTGTTTTTATGGAAGTGCATGACCACCTGCGGGGCTTTATTTGAGCTGAACATTCACTGATTTGCCTCCTAATCTCAAAAACCAAGAAACATCTTATGGAAAGAGCTAACATCTTATTTATTTGAGCAAATGCGTTATACAATGGAAACGGCATGAGGGCAGACCGCCACTAATGACAATTGCAGCGCGCATTGGAACGTTCCATCTTCAATAGCAAGTCTGCAATTTAGGGTGGGTTTAGTTGATCCATGGTGCACCGCCGTCTCATGGCCTGCAAACTGTGAAAGCAGCGGAGATCACATTTACCTTTCATGGGTACCAACTGATTAAACAACTCTCTTCATAGGAGGACAGAAATTTGCGAAAAGAGCTGTAACTTTTGCACGCTCACAATCTTAGTTGTGGG